GCATGTGTTTCTCTCCGTGATCGCGTGGACTTTTCTCCGGATCCTCCGGGTTTTCCCTTCACATTTAGGAACGTCTTTGGCTGCTATACATTTCCACGTGATAAGCCACTTCGTTGAGCTATCATTTTTGATAGCCAGGTCGCTTCTGAAAAAGAGCCGTATAGCTCTGTGGGCCTTAACTTACTGGACATCTGTGAAAATGAGCTTTTGTAGCTCATTGGATTCCTCCAGTATAAATACATATTCTGATTCTGATAAAAAAAAAAATAGGAGTGTTTACATTGCAGGACAGTGTCAGAGACGACGGCTTAGGGAGAATTCTCTCCAGCAGTGGATCGATCATCGTTTATGCGGATGCTGATGGTAGCCATGTGTCCATTCAGTGATGTTTTTCTGCATCTTTAAGCATGTGCGTGGTTTGATTATAAAAAAAAATGAAAAAAATCGCAATAATAAATATTATCCCCATTCTGCGATCTGCGTCGCGACACACGATGGAAGAATCCACTCTCGACCCTTGCAGAGAGAGAATCGTGATACGTTCTGTTCGCGAACGGCGCTCAGAAGCGGACATTGCAGAGCTGCCTTTGAGATGCCTCGATATGACCCCGGGTCCAGCACTTTTCAACCACCCGCTCTGCGTAGGGGCGTAATGGGCGCTTGAGCATTCTTCCCATGATAGGTGGAGTCATTGGTTATTGTCAAGCCGCATTAACGGCCCTTCGGAATGACGGCGGCGGCACTGTGACGGCCTGCACGATACCCATCGCATGGCACCGAATCGACATCGAAACCCACATTTGGAGGAGACACGAGAGTCATTGCATGGATGTCGCGGACTCCTACACCAGCGGGCAATTTTCGAGTAGCGCCGCAGTGCGAGTGCGGTCACCAATCTCGAACCGCGTGGACCTCATTCCTAACGTCACTGGCCTCTTCGATCGTTCGCCGGTAGCGTTCCGGGTGCAGTATTTGCCACGAACACGCGCACATCGCCGATGAACTCCCCCCACCGTACGAAAGGAGGAGCCGGAGTTTGAGTTGCTTCCAGATAATTCAGCAGCGAGAGAGAGGGGGGGGGAGGCAACGATAAGAAATAAGAAGCGACGAGTTGGGGGGGGGGGGGATGTGTGAGAGAGAGAGAGAGCAGTGGGATAGGGGGGAGATGGCGAGGGGGAGGGGAGAGATGGCGAGGGAGAGATCGAAGGATGGGGGTGGCGTGAGAGCAACAACAACAACAACACGAAGCAGCAATTAGCTGAGGCGGCTGTGTGGAGGTCTCCGGTCTCGGTAAATTTCAGTGTCACGAGTGCAAAGATTTGCATAGCGAGGGAGGTCGCTGGTGCCCCCCCCCCTACGTCCCCCGCCCCCCCCCCGCCACACCCCCCCGCCCCTCTCCCCCCCCCCCGTCCCTCCCCGCCACACCCAATCTCACATCCGTCCCCCCCCCGCCTCCCCCCCCAGTCCCCCCCCGTCCCCCCTCGTCCCCCCCTGTCCCCCCCCCGTTCCCGGACCCGCGCCCCTCGTTCTCCGACACGAGGCGAGATGCCCGAAATTGCCGTCCTCACCCCCCGTGGTCTGCCGTGCCCACGGTGTAGAGGTTTTCACGAAGCCATTAGCCCGGTGGCTGCACCAATGCCCTCCCCGCCCCCCCCCCCCCCCTGTTGCACTTTACGGCCGAACCGAGATTGCTCAGTCCTTTTAGGCGGGTCAGCACATTTGCGATTCTTGGCGCCTGACCAGTTCCAAATATTTGCGTTCGGTAATTTTTTGTTAGTTGATCGGAGCGAAATAACGAGACTCCTGGCGCGTTTGATTGTTGCCTGCTGCTGTTGCTCCTTCGACGATTGTCATGCGCGTGTTGAGATCATTATGAATATTTGCCGCATTGTTTACAATAGTTGTTTTCTTCCGAGGAATGATGTTTAGTTCACAAGATGTGCAATGCAGTGCCGTGTAATACAGCATTACGTGGGAGGATCGTGAAAGGTTAGCAGTGGAGTGCGGGGGGGGGGGGATCCAGCAGTGAATTTATCATGATCGATCCTGTGTGTGCTGGGTCTCGAAGTGGTATGGCGCGCGGCCACTTTGTAACAACATCACAGAAGTCCGCGCGACATCACCACCACGCCGCGTCTTTCCGCCTTCACCAATTGACTCCCCAGTAAAATGTACAAATTCATTCGATGCACGCTGCACGCGCCCGATGGTTTTTAAACACGTCCCACGTGACGCGCTAATCAATGACGCGGTGCGATCATCTTTGCCTTGCCAATTATAAAAGTGAACGCACTGATTTTTTTAGTGTGGTTTGCATTGTGGGCAGGGTTTATCCGATATTCTTGCGGCAATTGATGTGGCGAAGCACAATTTGCGTTTATGTATTAAACATAAAAAAATCCAGCGTTTGATTTTGATAAAAAAAAATATTTGGTACTCTTTAGAAAAAAATATTTTTCTCCCCCACGTTCATATGGCCGTTAAGATTCAGATTGAAACAGTTTCGCAAGTTGAGGTGCGTATCTTCCCAGCGATATTTTACCATTCCCCTTAATCAGCGCGTGGTTTAGCTGTTGGCGACTGCTGCCCTGCACATCAATTGTTTATTTGACAGTCTGTTGTTTGAGAAACTGGAGTTCGGGTGTGTCTCAAATGTGTGTACCATTCAGCAGGTAAGATGCATTTAGAGGTAACTCACGTATGCGAATATGTAAATGTGTAAAATCACTACGCACTGAAATATAAATGGTTTTCGCATGGCATTTCGTTTAACGAGGGGTTCCTGCTGTAGTCGCAAAACCCCGTCTTGTTGTGGTAAACACGAGAATGAAGATGTATTGTGATTATTAATTACGTCTTATCAGTCGGGCCGCGTATGGGAGTCTTTCAAACACCAAATAGCAGACTCATAACCGAGATCTCGCCCCATAATTAGACTAGAGACAAAGATCCCCCGTGTAGCCTTACCGAACGTTTGGGACAAGTGCCAGCACCCGATGAAGGCCAACATGGTACGCAAAGGGTGGATGATGAGCACCACGTCCTGCCGCCTTTGTCTCCCCCAATTTCGATGTTTACACACCGCACCAGGGGATCCATTTGAGGCTGAATCCACCTAGAGGAGGAGGCCCAGGGCATTTCAGATAAATCGTGACTGGTGTTGGCCGTAAGTGGGAATCGAACTCGGGTCGCCTGGTTCGTAGAGCAGCGTGCTAACCACTGCCTAAACCGCTCTCCGGACACACAACGACAACGATGCCCCATATAACGTGAACGTTCTGCTGCGGGAAGTGCTTTTAGCCAGCACCTTTTGAAGGTCGGCACGGCACACGAAGGGGTGAGTGGCTAGCAGCACCACACCCGGCCGCCTTTGTCTCTCCCAGTGGCGCGATGTTTACACACCACACCAGATACTCATTTGAGGCTGACCCGACCTAGGGGAGGCCCAGCACCGGTTCAGATACTCGTCACCGGTGTTGGCTGTGAGTGGCAATCGAAATCGGATCGCAGGGTTCGTAGAGCAGCGCGCTAACCGCTGCACTACCGCTCCCCACACGGTGCCGGATGATCCGAGTAGCACAAGTAGCTAGATTTGATGCTACGGGCTCCGTATTTTCAAGGGCCCCGCGCTAAATGCTTTCAAGCTATCAATTCCGATTAAGTGATTCTGCACTTGCTCTATTACTACAGTACTATACTGCCTTCAGATTTTATGAACGACTGCGTGTTTAAGGTTAGCGGTTTGTCGTATCATCTGTATAGCAAATGAAGAAATACAATTACTTTACCATGCAAGTACAAATTTGTGTTTTAATATTTACGTGTTTTAAAAACATTTCATGGGCTCCTTTATAATATTATCTACAGGCCCCGCATTAGCTTAATCCGGCACTGTCCCCACAAAGACATATCCCCCCGTATAGCCTTAACAGACTGCTGGGGCAAGTGCTCCCCATGCACACTCATTCTGCACACCAGCTACTAATGATGCCTGCGTCATCCACGTCACGCCGCATTGATGTTGGGGCGGGTGGTGGGGGAATTTTCAGCTCTGCAAATTAAACGTCACGGATTTTTTTACCCCCTTCCCTCTGTGGTTATAAATTATTTTATTATTATACCCCCCCCCCATCCTCCGCTCACACTTAGCGCGGAGGGAGAGCAAAGCTCTGCGCCGTCACATTAGCGACGGCACGGTATTCTGATCTCATTCCCAGCACCCACGCTGACCTTTCCTTGGGTCCCGTTTTGCGATGCTAATGGCGTGACTGGTGACAGCACCTCCGTGCGGCAGGCTGAACCTTGTGTGACTTCGTGCAGGCAAATGGAAATGTGGCCTTTCTCGCATTTTAATATATGTTTTTTATATATACAAGTTTTTTTGGGGTGTGTGTGTGTGTTGTTGTTATTGTTGTCGTTGTTATCAAAGACATTTCATTTGTCCGTGTACATTCCGGGTTTTCCAGACTCCCAAGTCCTCGCAAACCCCACGACCACGCGACGTGTTTCCGCGTTCGCCAATTGAATCCAAATTCAAAATGTAAACCCACTTCGTTCCGCGCCGCACGCGCCCGATGGTTGTTAAACACGTCCCACGCGAAGCCCGGTGCAATTGACGCTTGTTTCCGTTAATCGAGCCGATTCAAATGAAGATTGCGATTTGAGTGTGCGTCCACGTGGCCCGCGTGCCTGTGTGTGTGTGCGCACGTGGGGCACGTGGTGTGCGCACGTGTTCCACGTCACGCAGACAGCGTTGATTACACTGTGTAGCAATTTTTTTTCTCTGGGTAGTACGTGTTATTTCCTTATTGCTTATGCCTCAAAAGTACAGAAAATGGCTATTATTCCCCACAAATTTTGCTTTTGTGACCTGGACAATAATATTTTGAAATTTACCTATTTTCCAGAACATTCCAGATAGATTCAGTGCTGAGTAAACTTGGAGTCACTTCTAGAACATAATAGGAATTTCCAGTAATATTAATAGTAGTATAAATACAGGGGCATTAAGCCCACCAGTTCAGTTTAGTTCCAGCTGCCTAAGTGGATACATCTGCATTTTTCTGAGATGACATCAAGAGGCTGCAAGCATTCGGCAGACGCATTTTGCTATGTCTGTGGGCAATTTTTTTAAGACAAGAGTGAAAAAGTACTCTGTGGAAGTAACTGCTAAGATGTGTGAGGCCGACAAAGCATTTTTCGACATGCCTGTCGGGGATCAAGACAAACCCTGGGCACCTAATTTCACCTGCGAGCAATGCAAAAAAACTCTGGAAGGTAAGATGCATAATTGTTGCTCAGAATTTTATATTATAAAATTTGTTACAAAAATCTAAATTGTAAAAGTTTTTAATTTTTAAATGTGTTATAATTTTCTATATTATTGAAAAAATATATCATATGAAAACTGTTGCGAGAATATCTTGCACATTAGTCATGGGTTAAATAAAATGTATGTTTGCAGGATGGTACAGAGGGGAAAAGAGAGCCATGAAGTTCGCTATCCCAATAATTTGGCGGGAACCCACTGACCACTCAAGCAACTGCTACTTCTGCATGGTGGACCCTTCCAAACGTCGGACTGGCAAGAATGCGCCTGCTATCACGTATCAGGACCTTCCGTCATCCATCGCCACACTGCCATGAGCTCCCCGTACCCACTCCTCCGGAGAGAGAGCAGCCGTCTTTAGAAGAGAGCAGCAAGTCAGAGGGCGAGGAAGACGTAGATCCAGATGACAATTTCAGAGGTGGAGCTGAGGAGAGAACCCCATAATACCCTAACTAAAAATACCTCAACGACTTGATCAGAGATATTGGTCTCACCAAGGCGCACGACCACAGGCGGGACTTGCCACAGCGGACCGAATTCTCTGTGGGGAGGAACAACGTCATGTGGGAGCCACTGGTGGACCCCCAGAAGGTGCTGATGCCACAACTGCACATCAAATTGGGCCTTATGAAACAATTTGTCAGAGCTGTAGGTAAGGAGTTGGCAGCCTTCCAAGTACCTTCAAGACTTCTTCCCTAAGCTGTCTGAGGCAAAGGTCAAAGCCGGTGTCTTCGTCGGACCACAGATAAAGAAGATCCTGGAGTGCAATGAATTCCCCAAGGAGCTCAATAGTAAGGATAAAGCGGCTTGGAACAGCTTTGTCGCAGTGGTTCGTGGCTTCCTGGGCAATCACGAGGTCGAAAACTATGTGGAGCTGGTTGAGACTCTGGTGAAGAACTACGGCACAATGGGCTGTAGGATGCCCCTCAAAGTCCATATCCTTGATGCTCATCTTGACAAATTCAAGGAGAACATGGGAGCGTACTCGTTCGGAGCAAGGCGAGCGCTTCCACCAGGATATACTGGACTTTGAACGCCGCTACCAAGGACAGTATTACGAGAACATGATGGGAGACTATATTTGGGGGCTGATTCGTGAAAGTGATTTACAGTATAATCGTAAATCTCGAAAAAACTATTCACTTCTAAATCTTTTGTAGTAATTTTTGTATTGCTTTAGTATAAATACATGTTAATTTTGATTCATATGTTTTTTTCTGACTTTATGTGAACGAAAAGACGCAAATTCGCCCGTTTTAGCATTGAAAATAGATACATTTCAAAATATCACTGTCCTGGTCACAAAAGCACAGTTTGTGGGGAATAATAGCCATTTCCTATTCTTTATAGGCACAAGCAATTAAAAAATAACACCACCCAGGGACAAAAATTGTGTTACATGGTGTTATCGCGTCACGTGGGACGTGTTTGACAATCATCGTGCACGTGCAGCGCGGAGCGAGTGAATTTGTAAACTTGAACGGGGATCCAATCGGTGGACGTGGAAGGCCGTGGCGTGGTGGTTCGGGTCGCGCGGACTGGAGTTTGACGAACCCAGGTTACAAAGTGGCGGCGCGCGCCAGCCCATTGATGACCCAAAACACAACATCATTTCTTGGGTTTTATTGGAATCATTCTGCCAATCGACTAATAACAATTATTATCATAGTCGTGTTAACGATGAGCGTTGCTCGTTTGTATTAAGCAGTATTATCATTCTACGTATCTGAGTTCGGGATGACAGTTGGTCACCCCATGAATACGGGGGCCCCTTTAGTTGCTTGGGTCCCTATGGCTTTGCCTAGTTTGCTTGTACATTGCGCCACCAATTGTGGCTGACCGTGTACTCGTGGCCAGGCAGGTGCCAGGGCACCCCCTCCCTCCCTTCCCCCCTCTAAAAGCCACCCCCACCTCCTTTAAAGGATTCCCTAGCAATGTATTGTGGAGTCACCCATTAAGACGTTCCCAGCATTACGTTAAACGCCACACGTGCCTTCATCGCTGTGTATGTACTGTGTGTTCGTTGAACTCCTTTCGCACGGTACCTAGCCAACCGTGCTAATCGGAGGGTGGGTGAGTGTGTGGGTGAGTGACTGTGGGTGACAATTGAGTGCACTGTCTGCGTTGGACTTCTTCCGCACCGTACCTAGCCAACCGTGCTAATCTGTGGTGCAACAGCCCGGGTGGAGCGATCATTGGGGGGCCCGCTCCGGCTTTCAGGGGCTGACGACGGTCCGCGTGCGTCCTCTGAGCGATGTTCTCCGTGCGAAGAAGCGCTGGGTCCATTGATATCTCCCACCCCTCCCCCACCCCCACCACATCCGTCTTTGCCTTCCTCTTCTGCTTTTGATTTTTCCACTTCATCAAGGATCTGTAGATGATGATGGCCATCTATTTCATTTTATTGTGAGTATTATATTGCCCACCCAAGCAGACGGCCTGTCCGCTCGAGGCCCCAGTCACGTGGTCTACGGTGCAAATGCCGCGCCACTCCACCACGAGTGCTCCCTTCAAATACAATTTTTTTCTCTTCTTCCTGCGGGCTGGCTGACTGGCCTCTTGGAAGGTTGTGCCCCCCCCCCCCCTTTTTTGTTGATTTGGCATCGGTTTGATCATCTCAACCGCCCCCCCCCTCCTCCTCCTCTCTCCGTGTATTCATTTCCTCCCCTTTTCACTCGTACCGCGCTCTCTCTCTCTTCTCGCTCCTCGCTCCTGTTCCGTGCTTTAGATCACTGCTCGTGGGTTTTTTTTTCTTCTTCTTCTCAGATCCATTTGTCTTTACCCGCCGCGGAGACCCTTGTACTCTGGTTTTATTGAAAATAGAAATAATAGGAAACCATATCTGTGTGTGTGTATATATCCTTCCACTTCTGCTGACTCACAAAGTTGGCGATGGGGACAATGTGCATACTACTGGTTATTGAGAAATGACCCTGCACTGCAAAATATATTTTTCACAACCCTCTCGCCCATCGTGACAGCGACCAGAGCCCACGCGGTGGCGGTTCGAATCCAGGTTCACGTGTTCGACCTGCTTTATTCGCTTGCCTTTCCTCTACTTTGCTCCTCCGACCGTGGTATTTTTTAAAATTATAGTTTGTAGCAACGTTCTGACCCTACTGGACATCTGTGGGAAAAATAGCTTTATAGCTCATGGGAATTTCTTCAGTGTAAATAAAAAATAATTCCGATTCTGACAATACCGCGGTGGTGGATAAAACCATAAATGAAAAATCCACGCCTTCTACCTTCACAGGGGAAGTTAAAGATCCCGTGACGTCATTCGAAAGCGTTCGGCCATTGTATACCAGTGTCACGGTCCAAATGTTAACAACATTTTGACAAAACTTGGGCCGCAATTATTCATTCGGGATTATAATTAAAATATTGTACCACTTAAGGCCCACTGAGCTATACATCTTTATTTCAGAAGTGACCTTGCTATCACAAATGATAGCTCAACGAAGTGGCTTATCACGTGGAAAGTTTTCGCAGTAGACAATTACAGTACTCTAAAAACGCACGTTGATTCCACATGTGGAGGTAAAAAATAATTGTAGGACCCGGAGGAAAAAATCCACGCCACCACGGAGAGACAGACACGCAAACTCCAAATATAGAGCAGGCGTCAGGGTTGGGATCGAAATCACGACTTCCTGCATACCAGGCGAGGTAGTGAACATCTCGCCACCGTGTCGCCCCCATTATACATGGCCAGGCATCGCCCCTCTCTTGCCAAAACCTGGCAGCACTCTCCCGAAAAACCGATTCAAGAGACTCCGGGAGGCTTTCCTGGGTAAACAGGCTAAATAAATAAAGAAACCAAGTGAAGCCAAACCAATTTACAGTCTTTAACACAAGCCGGGCCGACTCGTCATTAAGCGGCTTAATGGTGCTCACTGCATCATAGCATTAATTATTTAATAGTTATTTATAATCCTTGGGAGAAAGAAATAGAAAGACATAATTTTCTCTCGCACCATTGCGGTGTGGTTAATGTGTATGGCTGGGTTTTGAAAATATGCCCTCCGTTGCAAGAGATTTGAAGTTGCATTTGTTTGTTCTTGTGTGGATTATCGTCGTTCGAAAGTCCTTGCTTAGTGTTTTGTACACAAAAACCACGAGGATTAAAATGTGAATTTGCCTTTCAACCGCAGAATAAATATTTGCAACCGGTTACAATGGAGAAATGCTACATTGCAATGTTTTGCAGCGTCAATTTCATTTACGTTTCACCCCCTTCTTTCACTCGGTCTCAGTCAACTTAGCGAATCCTTTCTAAAACATCGGGCGTGTTTGCAGGTTGTTAGGCATGATGTATGACGTTCCGCTCCAAGGGGTTGGGGGCTTCTTCAGGAACTGAATGGAGGCAGCTCACGTTCTCTCTTAACTATATAAAGTTTTCTGGCTGCTTCTGGTGGTTGGTGTGCGGCCAACCGATGTTGTTTTAATTCTGTAACCCGGCAAACCTAACTTTGATTCCTCACCCCGTCTAGCACCTTGTTTGCGGATTTTTTTTTAAATGACACCCACCGAACTGAAGATGCTCCCAGCGGGTGGAGCGAAACGTTGGACACCATGACAAGCGGCCTCGAATAGGTCCTCGCTAACAGCACTTGCCCCAATAGTCGGGTTAAGGCTATACGAGGGGATCTTTGTCTTTGTTTGGGTAATTGGCACAGTTGGCAATATAGGGGGTACTGCTGGTGCATCTACCAGTCATCTCAGTCAGCCAACCCATGGCACCTGGGTGCCATGGGGTCTGTCTTGTGATCTGTCAGCGAGCCTTCGACACTTAACGTGGCCTCAAAGTGCACCTGGCCTGGCACAGGCGCCCTGGGGACGTCACCGTCGCTTCGTGGCCTACGGCGGGTAATTGGTATTGTGTAATTCCGGTAGAACATCAACGGGCTATGGTAGGGGCAGGGTGGTGGTGGGGGGGGGGTACCGTTAGCCCCCCACCCGCCCCGACCTTCCCGCTACACACGTGTGTTGGTGGTGGTGGCGGCAGCAAGGGGCGGCCGACCTTTAGCGAGCGCCGCTCTTCGGGGGCCCCCACACGGGCGCTAGCGGCCTTGGCGCTCACCTGCCCCTGGAATAAGGTCACGGAGGCGCATCGACTCAGAGCCACCGCCGCCGCCCCCCCTCCACCCCCCACCATCACAGCCTCAAACACCCCCCCCACCCCCCCCGGGGTGTTTGATGCTCAGGGCACACGGTCTCGCAGATGCCGCCCGTTCAAAACCACCTGAAGCTCGCACGGCGAGTGGGTGGGGGGGGGGGCTTAAAAAGCCTCCAGTTTAGATGTTGAGAGGATTGGCTTTCTGTTGATTTGGTTGGTTATTTTTTTTGGTTTGGTGAACTTCATTTGATTATAATAATTTATTCTTCTTATTCTTCCACTGCTCTCCTTGTCAATGGGTTCTTCGCAGGAGGCCGAGCGAGTGTTGTTGTCGGCTGTACTGTGCCACGTGCTTCGCTCTGTCTGTACAGCATGTATGTATGTTGAACTTCTTTCACACCGTACGTAGCCGACCGTGCTAATCGGAGGTTGGGTGAGCGCGTGGGTGAGTGACTATGCGAGTGGGTGAGTGACTATGCGAGTGGGTGAGTGACTGTGTGTGTATGCTGAACTTCTTTCGCACCGTACGTATCCGACCGTGCTAATCGGAGGTTGGGTGAGCGCGTGGGTGAGTGACTATGCGAGTGGGTGAGTGACTATACGAGTGGGTGAGTGACTATGCGAGTGGGTGAGTGACTGTGTGTGTACGCTGAACTTCTTTTGCACCGT